TTGACATTGAAGCAACTAACTAGATTCAGTTTATAGACTTTTTATTAATTTTATTAGTAAAAAGACTGACAAAAGTGATTAGATCCATTTGTACCACCAATGGTACAAGCTGACTGATGGGACGGTCAACCAATGACCACTGATAGTTCAAGCCAGCGGGAATGTATTAATGTGTTGATTGTAGGTTTGTCATAAATGTCTTTTGTGAGATTGATATAAGATCCTTCTATACCTATTTTCTTTAGGGTTTTATCGTGAATAGATGTTGGTTTTTGTTAAAGGCCTTTTCTCCTTCTGTTGAGATGATCATGTGATTTGTGTCCTAGCTTCTTTTTGTGATGTATTACATTATTGATTTGTGTATATTTAATCATCATGGCATCCCTGAGATGAAGCCTGGTTGGTATGATCATTTTGATTTGTTGTGTTCTCTTTGCCAGTATCTTGTTAAGGAGTTTTACATCTGTGTTCATCAAAGCAATTGTTTTTTAGTTGAGTCCTTGCTTCATTTTGAAACCAAGGTAATGCTAGCTTCCAGGAATGAGTTTAGCAGTGCTCTTTCCCTTTCCAATTTCGATAGACAGTTTGAGGAGTCTTGATATTAGAACTTCCTTGAAGTTCCCATTGAATTCAGTGGTGAATCCATCAGGTTCTGAGCTTTTTTTCATTGGTAGGTTTTAAATTATTGCCTCAATTTCATTGCCTGTTATTGCATTGTTCAGGGTTTTTATATCTTATGGGTACAGTTTTGGTAATTTAAATGTAATTAGAACTCTCCCTAATGGGGAATTGAGACCATTCACATTAACAGTTATTGTTGAAAGGTGCTGGCTCATACCATTAATTGTATTATTTTCCTGTTGCTGATTCCTTTTTAAATTTTTTTCTCTTGTGCATAATTGCTTACCCTACCTGGTGTATTAATTCCATTAGACTTTTTGGCATTGTTTGCTTCTGTGTCTCTTTCTGAGATAGATCCTTGAAATTTTTTGGAGTGCTGGTTTGGTCATGAATTTCTTAAGGTAGTTTTTGTTATGGAAAGACCTTATTTCTCCCGCAATTTTGAATGAGAATTTTGTGGATACATTAATCTCAGTTGGAAGTTATTTTCTTCCAGTGCTTGATACACTTCACTCCAGGGTCTCCTGGCCATTAAGATTTTATGTTGAGAAGTCTGGTGTAACTCTAGTGGATTTACCTTAATAAGGTGTTTGTTGCTTTTTTTCTAACAGCTTTTGAGATTCTTTGTGTTGGACTTCTGGGATTTTGACTACAATGTATCAGGGGGAAGTTCTTTTCTGATTTTGACAATTTGGAGTTCTATATGCCTTGCTTAGCTGTATGTTAAATTCTTTCTCCATAAGTATTTGGAAAATTTTCTGCTAAGATTCCTGAAAATAGATTACATATTTTTCATGCCCTTTGTGCTACAGAAATATGGAGTGCCTCACATATTTGTGTGTAATCTGTACACAAGAGCCATGCTAATATTTTGTCATTCCAGTTTTAGTATGTGTTGCAGAGGTAAGCACTCTTTAGCATTTTTTGTAATTCATGTCTACTTGTGACAGATTCTTTCAACTTTTTTCTTGAAGTCTATTAATTTCTCCTTTATGTTTGAAGAATACAATTCTTTGTTGACATTTCTTTCAGCACTTGAAATATATCATCCCAGTACCTTTTGGCCTCCATAGTATCTGATGAGAAACTGGCTGTTAATTTTTTTTTTTTAAGTAGGAAGATATTTATTGATAGGAAAGCTCCTGAGGGGCAGGAGGGGTCCAGAGCAGGTACCCCCTGGCTGTTAATCTTATTGAGATTCCCTAGAACATGAAGAGTCACCTTTCTTTCTGCCTTCAAGATCCTCTGTTTTCTGAAAGTTTGAGCATGTTTCTCAGTGTGAATTTTTTCAAATTTATCCTAGGTAGAGTTTGCTGAGTTTCTTGGATGTTTAGATTCATGTCTTAATCAACTTTGGAAAATTTTTAATTATTAATTCTTTAAATATTTTCCTGATCTTTCTTTTCTCTTTCCTTGCCTTTGGCACTACTATTATACGTCTGTTAATGTGCATGATGATGTTGCCACAAGTCCCTTAAGCTGTGTTCATTTTTCTATTTTTCTGCTTCTCAGAGTGCGTGGTTAAAAATCACTTCTAGAATGTGATTTTCACAAGCCATTTATTTGTGAAAAATCTGAAGACTCTGTTATTTGATTTTCTGCTTAGACTTGTCATACTGAACAGTAGTTCATCAAGTCTCCCTCCCTTGCTTGGATCCAGTCTCTCATGCTTAAATATCTTAGGCAGAATTGAGGAAGAAATTGAATCATTCCAAAAAAGCTACTTAGCAGGTACCAAATATTTGAAGACTTCAACCAAAAAACTAGCTGGCCATTACCCTGAAGTCTACCAATTGGTAAGGCTAATCTCCACAATGACAGCATTATTGTTAGCTTTTTAGTATCAACCTTTTAAAAACAACCAGCCAACTAACCCAGGACTGTTAGCCATTTATTCAACGTTTCCAAAGTAAAAGACACATATAACAGAAAGAAAGGTAACAGACATACAGGAAACAAAAACATTTCAAGGAAATGATAATTGATGACTTCAGACAGATAATGTCTAATAAAAGAGGATCCCTTAAGAAAAGCAAATAAGTTTTAGGAGTTAAAAGTACAATAGAAATAAATACAGAGGCTCAGCATGTTGGTATTCAAGAGACTAAGGCAGGAAGAGGATTCCAAGTTTAAAGCTGACCTTTACAATTTAGCAAGATCTTGACCCAAAATAAACTTAGGGGTTGGAGATGAACTCAGTGCCAAGGCTGTGAGCATAATCCCTCCCTGGTGTTGGGGGTATAGTCGGGGTGAGAGTGGCATGGAGAAAGTGAAAAGAGATTCTTTAAAAACATTGAAAACAATTGAAGGGCTGTCCCTGGATACAGAACAAAAGACAAAAATAAAAGAGAAAATTAGAGGCTAATAATAGGTTCAGAATTTACCTAATAGCATTCTAGAAAGAGATAACAGGAAATGCAGAACCTTATTAATATATTAAGGAAACAAAACATGTAAATTTCCCAGACCTGAAGACATTACTAGATTGAACAGGTCAAGTGCTCAGTGCAAACAGTTGATATACATTCGCATACTTGTATAAAGTACATCATTCTGGGGCTGGGGAATGTAGTTCAGCAGTAGAGTGTATCTAGCATGCATGAGCCCCCCACTCCCCAAACAGCCTACATCATTCTGAAAATTCAGAACCCAGTGGAGATGAAAAGAAGATCCAAATAAGAATGTCATTGCATACTAGTGCTACATAACTCAGTGGCAGAGTTCTTCCCTAGCATGTGCAAGGTGCCAAGGTTCACTCTTCAACATTGCAAAAAAGAAAAGTGAGTGACCTTCATAACCACACATGAGAATGTAAAAGACATTGCAGACAATGCAGCAAAACCTTTAAAATGTTGAGAAAAATATACTGGTTTGAACTTTTAATACAGAATTTGTCAGATAAACACTAGAGAATGATATAATTTTAAAAATCCATGGACATAGATTTAAAAGTAATCAACATTACCCTTTCCTCCATGCATACTTTTAAATTTTAAAGCAAATTCCAGATATAGCACTGTACCATTTCAATACTAAGTGCTTCTGTTTTATCTGTGATGGGCATTTTAAAGGAACAGAACCACCCTGAAATTACACTCAGCGAAGTGAACAGTTTTTTAATATCATCAGAGACTTAGTTTTTGTTCATTTTCTCCATTTTAACTCAAAGCTATGTTTAGGGGTTGCCTTGTTCTAATCATGATGTGTTGACTTGATAGATATATCTTGTGTTTCCACCAAAGAAGACTACTTGTGTTCTTCTTTTTTCTTTTTTTTTTTTTTTGGTACCAGGGATTGAACTCAGGACCTTGCACTGCCACTGAGCTAAATCCCCGGCCCTTCTTTTTCTTTTTCATAAGCCTTTCTGTACTATTTGAATTTAAGCTCTGTGTATGTATTACTTTGAAAACTACAAATTAACATTAAAACAGTTATTTTGGAGAACATCTTAGATATTCACCCCAGAGTCCCTGGTTAGCAGTTTAAAAGCGACTCCTATAAATATATTACTCATGTTCTTCTTAGAGATGTACTGTCTGAACCTGTGTAAATGTCAACTAGTTTAGCAATTTATACATAGACTCAAATATTCTAGCTCATTGCAGTAGCAAGACAGAATGGCAATAAGCTATGCCCAAACTTGTATATGAAGAATAGACCAGAACTAAAAAGTGAACAAGAATGTAATTCTGAGCATCAGTGTAATTTTCACAAAGCAGTGTAGACAGCTATTAAATCCCAACACAGGCATTGGGGAAGAATAGTAATCTAGTAAACTGCTCCTGTGCCCTGTGGAGATAAAGGATCTGAAACAGTTCTCTAGTCCTTTTAAGGGGTATGTGTGGCAATTCAGTTATTTTGGCATTGACCTAAGCACTATAGGATAGCCATAGGTTAGCCATATTTAATACCATAGGTTTTTAAAATTTAGGCATTTTGCTATTTCTTACCTGGTAATCTGAGAAACATTAATTAAATTTCTGATATGTGTATTTCCTAGTATAGGAATCAAGGATGAGGTGTGGAGTAAGGTAAGATGAAATAAGAGTGCATACACTGTATAGAATGATATATTTCTGTAATGGTTTCCTAACCTAGAAAGGACCCTCATTTTAAACAAAATGCTCTCTTGAGAGTTTGCTTCTGTAATAAGTGCTTTTTTTTATAGTCTGCTCCCTGCATCCAACACAAGTTGCATTGGTCAGTCTTATTTCTGCTTGGTAATAGATTTGTCTGCTATCATGGAATTTAAATCTGTTTTTCATTTGAAAGTACAAAGGATGAACACCTGATTTTTAAGTTTGGTTATATTTACTTTATTTAGCCACAGAGTGGGTGCAAATTCAGTATCTTTCTCTTTAACCCTGTGTCTCTTTTAGAGGAAGTCCACAAGTGAAGGGGACACCCCATTTTAAGGAAGAACAGTGTGCTCCAGCATTAAATTTAGAGATGAGGAAAATATTGGATTTGCAGGCACCCATCATGAGGTAAAATATGGCATTTTGGTTAAATTTGGCATTTTGCAATGACAGTAGACAATGTAGTTGATTAATCACATGACCAGTAGGAAAATTACTTTCACTTCTTGGAATTGAAGAAAGCTGTTTAGCTTAGAAATCTGTAATTAACCCTTATAAGATATTTGATGTTTTATAGATGGTTCGCTGTTGTTATAATAAAGTTCATAAATTGGATGTGCCATTATAATTTTATTTTGAAATTATATATTTTGATAAGGTCTAGAAATGTTTGAGTGATATAACATAATCCATAGTCCTCAGAAAGATACTGGCAAAAATTATACAAGTTGAGGAAAGATAAAGTGCTTTTGTTTCCAAAGCCTTCCTAAGTTTCTGGGAAGTATATGTACATTTAGAAGAAAATTAACCTTTGGAATCCAAGTATGAATAAAAGTTTTGTGACAAGTTAGCCAGAAATATCAAAATACTAAAACTCTATATCCATTGGTAGAAAAAATACTTATAAGTTGGCTTTATTTTCTCAATTAGCTCAAGGTTGACATTTTAGTTGTCAGTTTAGCTGCATATTATTTCCATTGTGTAAGTGTAAGAAAATTTATTTAAACAATATGCAGCTGTGGAAACAATGAGAATATTCTTTACTGAAAAAGACTTTCCAAATATGTTGTTGAGTGAAACAAACAAGGTTTTATATAATTCTACTGCTTAAACTAAAGAGAACTGAATGGCCAGGGGCAGGTTTTAGAGGAAGAGTTTTTACTCTGTACTTAAAAAAAAATTGAGCTATATAAACATAATATGAATGTACTGAATTATATAATACCTATCTTTTTGGTCTGGGGATTTAGCTCAGTGGTTCTGGCACCTGCCTTGCAAGCGTACCAAAAAAAAAACAAACCCCTATCTTTTTAAAGACTCCTGATTCAAAGTTCTAATAAAAGACTTCTTTCACCATTTCTCTTGTTAGAATACTATACAGAATGACAGTGGAATATATTACATAAAATGTATCCAAGTGCTGACCTATTATCTTTGCCTTGGTTAGTCCATCTTTTTATACATTATTCTCATAGAAAAGAATGCCGTTTTTGTTGTTTGCTTAAGTGTGTTCAGTATTACAAAACAATGAGTTTAGGATACTCAGCACTTAGGTCAAAAAGTTACTGATTTCTTTAGATTTTTATTTCCACATAGAAATCCTTTTCAAGAATATAATGATGCAGGGAGAATTTTGAGTGTGTGGGTAACAAGCAATGTGGAACTGAACAAACTTGACTTTCTACTCCACCTTGTGGCTAAAAACTGTATGATGCATGGAAATAGGATAGAAAGCCTTTTAAAAAAAAGAATTTCTAATGGGCGGGGAATTTAGCTCAGCGGTGCCACGCCTGCCTTGTAAACACAAGGTCCTGAGTTCAATCCCTGGTACCACCACCAAAAAAAAAAAAAAAAAAAAATTTCTAGGTTGGAACTGTAGCTCAGTGCTAGATCCCATGTTTAGCATATGTGGGGCCTAGGGTTCAATTCCAAGAACCGCCAAAGGTTTAAAAAAAAGAATTTCTTCCACCTTGTGCAAAGTTAACCTGTCAGTTGTGATGTTCTGCAAATTTAGGTTGTTAGAAGTGTCTAACATTTCTCTTGAAATTGCAATACAATAATTGCATTTCAGAGTGATGTCATTAGCACCTCTGTTGAAATTGGTTTTATTATTTATTTATTTATTGTACCAGGAATCAAAACTCAGGACCTTGCTCTTGCAAGGCAGGTACAGTGCCGCTGAGCTAAATCCGCAGCCCACCTCTACTGAAATTGGAGATATTTCCTATACAATTTTAAATTGAGTAAAATATATGAAAGGCTTTATAACCAATTATTTTCCATCCTATCGTCACAAATGTAAGACAGGTAAAAGTAGGAATAATAGCTATGTTGTTGCTTATAGGATCAAGAATACTGTTATCTCGTATTTTTGATTAAGGAAAATATAAAGATTAATATTAAGTACCCAAACTTTGTTATAGAAAATAGATGATATGTGGGAGATTAAAATTTATAATTTAATAATTAAAACTGTTAGACATTCTAACTTTCAAATACCAGAGTTTATTTCCTATCTTCCTCCATCCTAGGCAGTTAAGAAAGCACTATGTAGTATATATAGTTTCTAATATTAGTTGAATATTGAATATAATTGTATTTTGGCTAATTGTTAATTTGTGGATTATATAATTGACAAATATAAAAATTTGACTAACCAGAAATACTATTCTACTTTAAGGTATATATGGCAGCTCATAATATATGCAGCATATTGTTTTCCAGCTATATTAAAACCTTTAGAAATTCAGTTAAGATTCTAAATTTAAAACTACACACATACACATTTGGGATACTTGATAGCTGCTATAAAGTCATGATCTACTAATTCTGACATCAGAAGTGTCTATTATTTTTATTGAACTTTTGACTCTGGATCACATTTTGGTATTTATTCATACAACTGGTCTTTTTTTCAACATTATTCATTGTCAAGATTATGAGTTCTTGGTTTTCAACTGTACAGTCACTACATGTGATTTAGTGACTACTGTTATCAGATAATGTAGATACAGAATATTTTTATCATTATTGAAAATTTCTTTTGGACAGTGCTAGAGGATTGTTACCTCTACACTTCACGGCTCCAAATTATCAGCCTGGTGTTAGTTTTGTTTTATTTTTTAAAGTGGTTTATCTTCCTCTTTTCTCTTCATGTCATCTATCTCTTGTGCTTCTATTTTCTAATTTGCTGTTTAACTATTTCTAGTTTTTAACTCCATTCATCAAGTTTGTAACTCTGGCAGCCAGAGTCCCTCATTTATCCCAGAATTTCTGATTCTAGTTTCAATTATATATAAATAAAGGTGCTACATAGCTAAATTGCAGATAAATGGATATTTTGTGATCTTTTTTTCTGTGAATATTTTCTAAAATAATATTCATTGCTTTCCCAGTATGCTCTTTTATGTTAATTGATTTAAATTGCTTATTTTCCTACAGTTTGCAGTCTGTGCTGGAAAATCTCCTGGTTGCTACTTCTGATGGACTTCTCCATCTTATTCACTGGGAAGGAATGACAAATGGAAGGAAAGCCATTAATCTTTGCACAGTACCCTTTTCAGTAGATCTGCAGTCATCTAGAGGTAGTTATACCTTCTACATAAGGTAGAACCAGCTGTTTAATATTTGATAAAATCTAGTGACGTTTTCTGTGGATTGAATTTAATTGTTTAGGGTGTTAGGTCATTATTTTTGCCCTTTTAACTGTCTTTGCAGGGTTTGCAAACAAAAATATGAGAAACTAACATAATACTATTTTATATACTTATTTTTTATCAGTAGGTTCATTCCTGGGCTTTACAGACGTGCACGTCAAAGACATGGAATACTGTGCCACACTTGATGGGTTTGCTGTTGTGTTTAATGACGGTAAAGTTGGATTTATTACACCAATGTCAAGTAGATTTACTGCAGAGGTATGGCTTAATACACTTTTTAAAAATTGTGGTCTGTTTTTATGTGATAAAATTTACCTGTTTCAATGATTTTTAGTAACTCCCTAGTGATACAATCAGTACATAAGTTTTATAACATTTTTATTTCTCACCCCCTCCATACACACAAAAAAGATAGCTCGTGGTCATTTATTTATTTTTGTATTGCAGATTTTATTTTATTTTTTTATTAGTACATGTTTGCAGTACATAATGATTACATTTATTGTGGGGTTTGTACATGTACATAACATATCTTAATTCTTTTTTTTCCCTCTTCTCTCCCATCCTTCCCACTTAATAAAGTTTGAATGTTTTTCTTTACATTAATTTTATAGTTTATTGTTAAATCCTTCTCCATTTTTTTAATTCACATAAGATTTTAAAGGTTAATTTTTTTATCAAATTATACATATACTTGGTGTAAGTAGGCAAAATTCTGTTAGACATGTTGAAGAAAAATGATGGTTTGGGCCGAGGATTTAGCTTAGTGGTTCCACCACCTGCCTTACAAGCACAACGTCCTGAGTTCGATCCCCAGTAGCAAAAAGAGAAAAATCATGGGCCAGGGATTTAGCTCAGTGGTTCTGACACCTGCCTTGCAAGCGCAAGGACCTGAGTTTGATCCTGGTACCAAAAAAAAAAAAAGGAAAAAGAAGAATGATAGTTCCTGCCCTGTTCTCCTCATACTCAATTTCTGTTCTTGGAAACAATTACTTCATAATTCCTTTCCTAGCTGTTTTGAATATTTATCTTCAACTATGAATATTTTCTTTCAGTTGTTTTCAGGCCATGTTACAATTTTGTCAAAAATAGCCATACTGAGCTATGTAGTATATTGTCAGTTTTTCCTTTCCCGCATATTTTCTCTCCCATTGAGAATTGATTATTCTTTGTCCTTTACATTTGCTGAGTCTTTATGTACTCAGCACTTAACCCAAAACTGGCTGCCAGTTGTGTAAATGTCCTCTCGATTCTTTTAAACATACTATGTTTCATCTTGTTGAAGAAATTTTTCTTTGTGCTCTCTGGCCTACATAGCCCTAATTTTGGTGTTTTTTTTATCATCATTATCCTTTTATTTGTATAGGATCCTTTGATAGCTAATGATTATTAATTATATGGATAGTTAATATATGGATTCTGCTGCTGTGACAGAGCCCCCCCCCCAAATAAAAATACCACAAACTCTTGCATTTTGGTGAATTTGGCTATCTCATCTCCAGTATAGGATGAGCTGATGGGGTTATTTACTTAGGGAACCCTCATCTTTAGAGTCATCCCCTTTCCTCTCAACTTCTCTTTTACTCTTCACCTCTCTCCCTCCGTCTTGTTTACTTGGGAAAGAGTCCTATATTCCTTTATAGAGGTTATCTAGCTGCCCACAATGTTCTGGGATTTGAGATAGGGAGTTAGGCTACAGGATCCAAATTCAAGGTTTGAACTTTGACTCACTTTGACTGTCCCTTTTTTCTTCCAAGGAAAAATGTCCAATTTTCTGTTAGAGCGGAGGTGGGATATTTCTTACTCAGCAGGAGGTATTCTGGGAGGACCTAGATTCTTCTTAAATAAACTTTGAAACAATCCTACTTTTAGTGCAGCATTTCAGAATACAGTATCTGAATTATCAAGCTTTTTATGTACCTGACAAGGTAAATTTAGCTATTTCTCAGCATTCCTTCCTTCCAGATAAGGATTCCATTCATTCATGTGCTTCCCAACTTCCAAAATTGTCCAGTGCTGCCTCTTCTCCCATTCTTTTGTCAGTTTATGTTTTTTGGAGAAAAGTCATTTCTGCTATAAAAGTTGGGGATTTAGGAATCAAAGAAGGTAAATATTCATATTCAGTTTGCTCTGTTTAATTGGAATGGATTTTAAGTTTTTAAAGGCTTTTTTGTTCTACTGTACTTGGTATCAGCTTTAATCTTCCTAATATTGTAAATATTTTCTATTATCAACTTTATACAAATAATAAAAATTAAATAATTTGTGATCACTTATGTCAATATATAAAGAAAAATAAGTTTTTGAAAAAAATCTCATTTTTTACAAGGTGCCTATATGTTTGTAATTATTTGGGGGAACTTAAATGTTTATGTTAAACAGAAATACACTTCCCCTATACAGTATTCCCTTTGTGCCATAATTGTCGAACTTTTTAAAGCATTTACCAACCTTAAGTGTACTGTATTGTATAATTTTTTCTCTTGTCTACTAAAATATAAGGCAAGGATACAAGTATGTATTTGGATACCTCTTGTATCCTCAGCATCTAGAGCAGTGCCTGTTGAATAGTACATACCCTGGAAATATTTGTTAGAGGAATGAATTTTAGTCTAAACACTGATCAAAAGAAGTAATCCTCAATGCTGCCATTACCATTTTCATTTTCATAACAGTATCTAGGTTTTTTATTCATATTGAAAGAAGCAAATACAGTCATGTAATGACATTTTGATCAACAGAGCACATATACTATGGTGGTCCCATAAGATTATATTGCTTAGTAATGCCATAGTCTTCTTAACTTGTGGAAATACACTGATATTTGCACAACAAAATCACCTAATAAAAGATTTGTCAGAACATGTCCTGTCATTAAGTGATACATGACTGTTCTGTGTTTAGATAGATTCTATAGCTTATTTTGGAATTGAATAAAATCTGAAAAATAGTATAGTTCAAACCATTGTGATTATATTGCATCTTCTGACATCTACTATTGGAATCATTCAAAAGTAAAATGCCTTATTAATAGTGTGCTACTAGGTTTTTTTTTGCTTACTAAAGGTCATGACCTTTGCCTTGTAATTTATAAGCTAAATGTCTTTGTTTTGACAAATAAGGACAGACTTTGAGCTAAATCTATTCAGATTTAGCTAAACTAAGTCTTTTCTGTATCAGTATATGGAATTGAATAGCGTATAAGATTAATGATGTCATTTATTTAGTGAATGCTTAATTGTTGAATAGTAAGCATTTTACTAAGTAGTGTAAATCTTTGAGCCACCATGATGAGAGGAAATTTACAGATAAGAAAATTAAAAGTTTGGAAAGGTCAAATAATCATTTGAGTTAGACCTGAGCTGTTAGGTTGTTAACCATACTATATAGTAAGGGAATAACAAAGACTAGTAAGGAACTGACAAATAACAGATTGCTTCTAGAATATAGAACAAATAAAATTCAATATTTTTCACTGACTGGGTACTTAAATGCTGAATGCTATAGTTATACCTACTAGAATATTAATAGTGAGCAAATGAGATACAGTTTCTAGTAGCAAAAGGTTTACATTACAACATAAGTCTTCTTCATTTACTTAATGTTTACAGATTGAATATCCATTTGTTTTAGTGTTTTTATAAATAGATTAACACTAAGTTCATTTGGGATATTTTCTGAATCAATAATTTTAAGGAAGACTATTCAGATGGTAGTCCTGATGGGATATATCCTGTGCAGATGAGTGCATGAAGCCTTGTGAAACCACGTGATTATTTGAAAGAGAATTATATTGATTAAATTTGGAGGAACATTTTTTAAGCCTTAACTGTTTTTCTGTATTATAGCAACTTCATGGAGTTTGGCCACAAGATGTTGTTGATGGAACATGTGTAGCAGTAAATAACAAATATCGGCTAATGGCATTTGGTTGTACGAGGTAATTGATACAGACTTCTGAATTTTTAAGAATTATTTCCAAAAAATAATTTATTTTTTATTTTTTAAATTTGAGACAGAGTCTCACAAAGTCGCTATTGTTGCCCAAGCTGGGCTCAAACTTGCTATTCTTCTGCCTCACCCTCCGGAGTGCTGGGATCACAGACGTGTGTCTCCAAACCAAGCCAAAAGTAATTTTTAAAGTTTAAGATATCTTAACATGCTTATAAAACTTTGTCATGCTATCATAATTTAGAAATTACCCTTAATATCCAAAGGTATTTTTATTAAGATATTTTTCCTTCTTAAAGTCCTTTGTAAGAGATCAATGTTGGTAATAACTTCAAATTAGTGGCTGTACTTTACTTAGTTAATGAGCATACTTAAAACTCATACGTAAAATAAATTCCTTGCTTTGAATCATGTAATGTATATTTTAAAAATAAAATCAAAATAATTCAACTAACATCTGTGTACTTACCATGTACCACATATCATATATAGTTCTAAATACAGGATACATTAAAAAAAGATACCTGCTATTTTTGGGCTTATATTATGGCTCAAATAAAAAGATTATCATAGTGCTGCCTTGAAATGTGTATATATTACTTTTAGTTTTTAAAGCTTTCTTAAATATAAAACTGATCTAGTTCTGTAGGCTGTATCTAGTATGGCTCTAGCAGTATGATCTCAATCTAAGTTAAGTATCAAAGGTTTTTTTTTTTTTTTGTACAAGTAATATAACTACTAAAAGTCAGCACCTTAATTCTTTCAATAATCTTTTTTCCCAATAATTTCTTTGTAAAGTGAGGAATCTTCATTATCTTTTTTGACTTTCATATTATAAAAAAAAATACATACCAAATAATGCATAATCCAAATACACAGTTCATAACTGGACAAGAAATAACATCACCAGCCTTTCATAAACTCTAACCTGGCTATGCGCTTGTGCGGCAGGCACTGGAACCACAAATCCCCGGCTAACCTGGCTATTTCTAATTGCAAATCTTGCTCCCTCCCTGACTCCATTAGTAACAGTTTTCTATCTTTTATGATAGTCATTTATTCTTTGTTATACTTTAACTACCTGTGTATATATTCCTTACGCACATAACTTGTTTTTGAACTTTATACAAATAAAGTCATTTTATCTTTTATTTCTTCTCTCAGCATTGTGAATTCATCCATGTTGGTTTTGAATAGTTATAATCATTTTTATATAGACTTATAATGTCCCAAACATTATGAATATATCATAATTTATCCACTTCGCTGTTGATGGACATTTATATTATCTCGTGGTTTCCAAAAAAGACATTCTCTTACATAAACTCAGTATTTTTATTCTACATGAAATAATCAATGATGAATAACTAATAGGATCTATTACCCAATTCATACTCTTAACCAAGTTATTACCAAAATTTCTTTTATGGCTCCTTTGTTCTAACAAGAATGAAAGAAAATTCATAAATTATATTTGGTTTTTGTTTACTTTCTACCTATAACAATTCTTATACCTTTTTTTAAATTTTCACGGTATTGTATTGACTCCCCCCGTAACTGATTGAACCTAGGGCCTTTCCACTGGGATTGAACTTAGAGCCTTTGCGGTGAACTGCATCTCCAGTCCTTTTTCTATTTTTTATTTTGAGACATGGTCTCCATGAGTTACCTAGACTGGACTCTTGTGATCCTCTTGCCTCAGCCTCCCAAGAGTTCTGGTATTACAGGCATGTGCCACCATACTGGCTTAGACCAGTTCTTTATAAAATGTCTTACAATCCAAATTTGCCTCATTGTTTCCCCATAATGGGATTTAATGAGTTTCTCCAACACCTATAATGACTAACCTGAAAGCTGGTTCTTGTTGAACAGATACAAATTTGAGAGAAAACTGGAATAGTGGCAAGTGTATAGTTTCCACATTACTTGCATTCAGGGATAGCATCTGGGGTCTAGCAAAGCCAGATCTTGGAATCTAGAAATGACTAGAAAGTAGGACAGTGGCGGTGAACCTATGACATATGTGCTGCAGCGTGCTGTTTTTATCACTGAGAGCCCTAAAAAGTTCACCATCACTATATTAGGATAGTGAAGTTAGAATCTAGGTTGTATAGCCTTTCAGTCATAGTTAGAAGACTGTCAGCACATCTGGCACAATCATGGGTTAGGGTTAAAAGTTTTTGTTTTTGTTTTTATAGTACCTCTTTGATTTACCTTCAAGCTCTTATCTGTCAGGACTTATTAGGGTTAATTGCCTTGAGCCCTGGTCTGTAGCTGTGTCTTTAAGAGAGAGAGAAAGAAGGGTTGAAAGGAGAGGAAGGGAAGGAGACCAAAGGAAAAAAAACCTAAAATGTGTTGTGTACATGTACAAATTCCTCATCATAAATGTGATTATTATGTACTGCAAACATGTATTTGAAAAAACTGAGTTAAGCCAGTATTCTTTTAAGATTCCAGTTTACAAAGGATCCATCTTGAAAAATCTAACTCTGTGTGTAATGGTTTAAGTAGAATCCAGTTAAACATTTTAGTCATAGGTGATGAAATATACTTCCTTTAACAACAATGTCAAATTGCCCCAGTATTGATGATGCTAAATTTTTTGATCATTTGTGTCGACAAAAGTCTTATCTCTGTCATAGAGGAGTTTTTGTTTCAGAATTAGTAAATTATCTGTTTTTAATTTTTGACTAACATGTAATAATACATAATTATTGGGTGCCTGCCTCGCAAGCACAAGGTCCCAAGTTTGATCCCCGGTACCAAAAAAAATTCCAAAAAAGCAAAAACATAATTATTGGGTATAGTCTGAAATTTCTTTTTTTTTTTCAGTCTGAAATTTCAACAGATGTAAATGGTGTACTAATCAAATCAAGATAATTAGCATTCCCATCTCATTTCTTTGGGACCATTAAACTCTTTTCTGGTTCTTCATAAACCACTGTCATTTTAATGTGTGCAAAAATAGCCTTGTGCTAAAAAGTATTTCAGAAACATTTGTTTCTCTTTTCCATTATAAGTATGTTTCATAAGCAATGTAACTGAATTAGGTAGATGCTTCATTTTCCACAATGAATGTGTGTTAAATTTTTAAACTGAGAATAGCACCACAAGCAGAAATGAGATTTTAAAATGATCATTGGAGTTCAGTTTTGAAATGTAGCTTAGGAGTAATGTAGAAGCTAGGTTTGGTGGTACATACCTGTAGATGCTGAGTTTGAGCTCAGCATGGGTGATTTAGCGAAAACTTGTCTCAAAATAAAAAAGCTGGAAATACAGCTCAGTGCAAAGGTCCTGGGTTTAATCCCCAATTTACCCCCCACCATGGTATTTTTAGCTTTAGTTTTTATTCCTTCATAAGTCTGAACCTTGTAGAGAGTTTTTAAGTGAAATATATATATATATATATATATATTTGATACACAGAAGACCATACGATACATGATACATAAAACATACAATGATAATCTGTCTAAATTCTCATCCAGTATAAGAAATAGCACATTATGAGTACTGTTGAAGCCCTCTGTCTGCTTATTCCTTGATAGTCTCCATTCTCTACTTGAGTAGTCACTAATCTAAAATTCATGTACATTAGCTCATTGCTATATTTCTTTTTAACCACAAGTTTTGACAACTTGTGTCTGGACTGGAAAAAAAACGCATATATAAATGCTGTCTATGCTAATGTATGTGGTTAAATACCTTTTCTTTTTCAGTGCTATATGGTATTAGTACTATATGAATATACCAGTTTGTTTTTCCTTCCTTGCATTGATGTATGTTCAGGTTATATTCTTTTCTTTTCCTTTATTTATTTATTTATTTATTTATTTATTTTTGCTGCAATTATATACATTTGTTCAGTGAATATTGCATGTCTCCTGATAAACATTAGATAAGAATTTCTGGGATATACTGTATCTAGAAATGAAATTGCTGGATTATATAATATGCATTTGTCTGAATTCATGAGATCACTGGAAATTATTTACAAATTGTTTTTGTCCTACTTTACAGTCATACCAGCAGAATGTAAGAGTTTTCATAATAATATTTTTTCTATTTGTCTTTTTTCAGTAAAAGTTTTTTTGCTTGCTTATTTTCACAGTGGTTCTGTGCAGGTTTATACAATAGATAACACCACTGGAGCCATGTTGCTATCACATAAATTAGAGCTAACAGCAAAACAGTATCCTGGTGAGTATTTTTTTAAGTGTTTTTGATGTGGTTCCCCCCTTCCCCTTATCTATGAGGGATACATTTCAAGACAACACCCTCCCAAAGATAACCTGAAACCCTGGATAATACTTAACCTTCTATATACTGTGTACATGCATAGTGAAAAATAGGCATAATAGGAAGTACCCTGATTTGATCATTATACATTGTATACCTATATTGAATTATCACACTGTACTCTAAAAATACACAATTAAAATAAATTTTAAAATTTAAATTAACTAGTAGAATAATTATAGAAATATACTTTAATGAAAGCTATGTGAATGTGGCATTTTTTTTTCTTTCCCTCTCTCCAATTTTTCTTTTTGAGAACATGTAGATTCTTTGTACATTGCACCTGGATTTTATCATATTCCTTTAGATGTTGCCATGTAGTACCAGAGTTACTGTGTGTATGTTTTCTGCCCAATGCCTCCTTTGCACTTTTATGAATACAAGTTCTATTAGGCTTCTTATTTCAGGAGAGCCTTCTTACCAAGAAGAAATTGGAAGATTTGCTTTGAGTGATATCCTTTCTTCTTTACCAACTTAATCAGGTCTGCCAGAAATGTGGTGGCAACTTCTTCACTGGCAGATGTAGCATCTCCAGTAATTTTTGTATTTTTTAGCCCAAACCTATTCATAATATGTGTAACCCTCACTTGTAATAAATGGCTTGTTACCATTTGTTTCAGGGAATCCCTTGCTAGTCTTTATATAGGGTGGTGCTTTCTGGTACAACACTTTGCCATCAACCAATATGTTTTCTACCCATAGATTTGTTAATGCTTTTCTGTTGTAATAGTGTATTTATCACCTGTGGTGGCCATAACTTTCACAGTTTGAAGTGCAACAACATAACAAGCATAAGTTTCTTTTTCTGTCACAGTTTCATAGATAGAAAATTCATTTTTATCATAGAACTTTGAAACTTCAGCATATAATTATTTTTCATAATGTTTTCCCTTTTAAAGGAAGCATTTTCTGGCTGATCTTCAATATATCTGAATTGGCAGCATCACTACTCTTATGCTTTGGGGCCATTAATAAGTAAAATAAGGGTTACTTGAACACAAGCATTGAAAGACTGCAACAGTCAGTCTGATAACTGAGATGGCTATTAAGTGACTATTGGGCAGGTAGCATGGATACAGTAGACAAAGGGATGATTCACTCCCTGAACAGGACAGAGCAAGATTTCATCCTGCTACTCAGAACGGTGTTCAGTTTAAAATTTTTAAAATTTACGCATTGTTTATTTCTTGAATTGTGCCATTTAATATTTTCAGACCACAGTTGACATCAAGTAACTGAAAATCCAGAAAGTAAAAGCACCGAAATGGGGGACTACTGTACTAATAATGTAATGTGTAACAAATGCTGTTTAAATGATACATGCTATAAGTAAATATTATTAGAACACACAAGATTTTATATGACTCATAGATTTCTGTATAACTAGAGAGACTGTGGGAACTTTTTTAATCTGCTCACTTAGGTTTTTTTATCCTTAGTTTTAAGCTCTGCATTACTTGTCTGGATTTTGGAGTTTTTTATCCTTAGTTTTAAGTCCTGTATTCCTTGTCTGGACTTTGCTATAGTCTCTTAACTGATTTCATTCTCTGTTATTTTATGCCTTCCAATTCAATGTATTCAACAAATACTTATTTAGTACCCACCATGCACTTGACTGTTCTAAATGCTGGATTCCCAAGAACAAACAAAATTTTGAACCCTTTAATAAATCTCTGCTGTTCACAAGATTAAGTCTAAATTCTTTGTCATTGGAAATGCTTTTTACTGAAGTAACAGAAACCCCATCTTATTATGGCTTAAACAAATGAGATTTCTATTCTCAAATAGTAAGAAATCCAAAGGCAGACTGCTACTGACCTTCATTTGACCTTTTCTTCATGGTCCCAGAAAAACTCCTGAGCTCCAAGAATTTTTTTTTATTAAGTTTATTGGTACATTTTATATTGTACATATTGGTACAGTTACATTCATCATTGGGATCTTGTACCTTTACATGATGTATCTTGGTTCTTATTTTTTTGTGAACTCCAAGAATTACTTAGGCATTTCAGTCAAAAAGAAAGGAAGCTAGGCACATCTGATTTTTTTTTTTTTTAAATCAGGAAAGCAGAAATATTTCCAGATGGACCCCACATCCTATCTTCTCTAGCTGTCTTCTACTTCCATCTAATTGGGAATAAATACGTCAAATGGCTACCTTGGGCTTTAAGCAAAAGTTGGAAATGATAGCTTTTTCAGTCCTATCTTCCAGCAGATAGGACAAAAATACAAAGAAAAGAAATAGGCAGTACATTAACCAACCAACGGTGTCTACCACATACGTGATGTATAAGGCCTTTGCCAAAATCCTCCTCTCATGGTTTTTTGGTTCATTCCATGCTCTTTATGTAATTTTTATGTAGTACCCCTAAGCTAAAAGAAACATCAAATATTCGTTTTATTAAGTAGTTAGGTCTGCTTAACTACTTAATAAGTACCTATGCAAGTTCCTAGCAACCTAATAGCATATTCTAAAAAGTAGCTATAAATGGAAACAAAATAATATTTTTATATCGCGGTTAAACATGGACACTAAGTCAAATTAGGCACAAGCACACACATTTCTGGTTTCATGTTGATTTTTCACGGAACACTTTTTCTGGATTGTTTTGTTATACCTTGGTAGACTGGTTGAGAACTGTAGTCTTAGCTTGACCAGACTACTGTTCACTGAATTTTTAAATTTCAGCTATTGTTTTATTTCTAAAAGGTTTATTTAATTTTTCCAGTCTGTTTGCATCCTGCTCCTATTTCATCTTCTCTTTAACCTTAAAAAGGATAGTTATTTTATATTCTGTGTCCATTAGTCCTAGTAGCTGAAGACTTTCTGAGTCTGTTTCTGCTGTGAGTTCTTTGGTTTCTCACTCATTTGTATATTTTAGGATTTTTGACTGAGAGCTTGTTACTTGTTTTGAAAGCTATTTGTGTGAGTGGCTAACGACCTATATTGCATTTGAATTCTTTCAGAGGGGATTTGCTTGTGTTTCTGTTGGTCATCTGGGTTTATTACAACAATATAAACTCTTTACATTGTGCTCTCTGAGACTATTTTAAAACCACAATAATTGTACAAATTATACTTCAGGGTGACAGCTGATTAAGTTTCTGTTTAGTACCATAGATGAAACATGGAAATCTTTCTTGCTATTTCTTTCATTTTTACACAGCAAAGGTTTGTTGTTGTTTTCCTCCTCCTCCTCCTTTATACCATGAATATAGACATAACTATAACCGTTGGGCAAGCTTTGAGCTGTATCTCCTGTCCCTAACATGCCAGGGGTCATCAGAAGTACTAGTCACGGTTCCCAGGGTTTGGTAAATAAATTCAGGAAAAAAATACTTTGTCCCAGTTTTTTTGGTTGTTTTGAGCTATTTAAATATTCTGTTCAACATCTAAGTTGTTTCAGTGTCATTTAAGTTATCGTTCTCTGTACTGCCAGAAATAGAAATTTGCTATTTACATTTTTATAATTCTTATCATATAGATTTTGTAAAGCCTTGCATGTATTTTTCTCTAAGGACAGTTTGCTACAACCTATCTCCATTTTACAGAAGCTGATTTTCACAAAAGCAGATTTTGAAGATTATACAGTGGTAGTTTAAGTTAATAATGAACAAAACATCTTTCACCTCTTATAAATTACTTGTACACTGAGATTGTTCTTACTAAATCAGGCCAAGACCCGAGGCCTTTTTAAAAATAATCCTACATCAACAGAATTCATCTCATTATTTGAAGCAGTCATGCCTTTCTGCTCATTTAGATTTGAAGATGTAGACTATTAGAAGTACCATTTCTTAAGTAATCATTTATTTTGAACTCTTCTCACTACTTCTTAACAGACATTTGGAACAAAACAGGAGCTGTTAAATTGATCAGATGGTCTCCTGACAATAGTGTTGTAATAGTGACTTGGGAATATGGAGGCTTTTCTTTGTGGAGTGTATTTGGAGCCCAACTGATTTGTACACTTGGAGGAGATTTTGCGTAAGTCAATAAAAACAAATCTTAGATAAAATAACTCTTATTACCTCTCTGACAATCTGTCTATATATATTTTTTTCATGCCTTGGGTCATACCCTTGGGTCATTACCCTTTTGCCCTACTTGATTCTTACCCCAAAACTGTGTGTAAGATTCAGAATGAATTTGTTCATAATGTGTCAATTCTCCAAACATGCACTTTCTAAAAACTGACATTTCATTTTTTAAAAATATACTTATTCACCTTCAGCACCAGGGGGAAATGTACTTATTTATTGAACCCCTGTTTTATATATGACCTCATGTTAGATTTAAGGCTGAATCAGACATAATTCTGCCTTTAAATAGCTTACATCCAATAAGAATGATAAGCCATGTACATAAATAATTAGTAGGAAATAGAACGTTACATTATCTCATTAGGTTAATGTAAGCTAACATAATGGCTTGACAGGAACAGGTTGATATTTCTGCTCTCTTTATATACTATCCTGAACCTCAGTCCTGATGAAGTGAGCACACCTTCCTAAGCTGCATGATGCTGTCAAGAAGTTAGTTGGAGTTAGAAAAATGTGGCTGAGTGATACGGCTAGGGTCCAGTTTTATTTCATCCATTATATGTTTCTATTTTGAAGGAGCAAAATCAATTTGATTTTTAAAAAAACTAAAGCTGAATAATGTGGGCATTATATGTAATTGGAAAACTCTATCAAATTAAGTTTCGGTTCTATTTCAGTTACAGGTCTGATGGTACCAAAAAAGATCCCCTTAAGATCAATTCTATGGTAAGCACTTTTATAAAAACTTGGCATAGGATAAAAAATGAGTCCCCGCCCCCCCATTTTTCCCTCTCACATTGGTCTGAGAATCACAAAGCTATTTAGCTCAGGAGATCTTCTTTATATAGTTTTTAATTACCTTGTGCAGATTTATCATAGGAAAACGTAAAACTTTTGAACTTTTGAAATTTTGCAATTATTCATGGATCTCTCTCCCACCCAATTACTATTTGGCCCACAAATTGAGAATCACTAATTTTAAAAAATACTATCATGGAATCTAATTATAAAACAATTAAAATTGAATTGGCATGGAGAAATTTATTTGAACCTTTAAACTTTATAGAGGAAAGACCTTAGACATTGAGAAACCCAATAGCTGGGTCAAGGTAACAGAAAGCCAAACTGGAATGAAACTGCTAGTCTTGCAGCTTCCAACCTAATATTCTTTGCTGTCTGCAAAAATGCATCTGTTGTAGGTGCTTCTTTGCTGAGCTTCTTCTAGATAATCTGGGTCTTCCTCTGTAAAGAAGTTTTTTGTACTTGAGAAACAGCTAATTAAATAAATGGAGAAGTTACCAAAAGCAGTAGGTATTTCTTTCTTTTTCATTTTTTTTGGTACCGGGGATTAAACTCAGGACCTTGTACTTGCAAGGCAGGTGTGGTGCCACTGAGCTAAATCCCTGGCCCAGCAGTAGGTATTTCTTAGGATTGGGATCCTGAAGTTGAAACTAAGAATAGTACTTAATGTTTTCATCATTCTGGGTATAAGGCAGTGGTTTCCTCTGGAGATAACTAAGATATACTTGGAAGGTATGACTCTTTTCTGTGTTGTCTTGGTTTCTTCAGCCTTTAGAAGTCACTACTGGTACTGTCATTGGTTATTTCAGATACTGACTGAAGTCAGAAAAGGCTAACAAGAACCTTTTATTGTTTTGACATTTTGTCTCTCTCTCCTTCCAAGTGCTGGGGTGCAGAAGGCTATCACCTGTGGGTGATCAGTGGATCTGGTTCTCTACACACTTCATTTGAGGCTGACCTAAGGAGTATAGTTAAACAGCCCAGCATTCTGCTATTTCAGTTTATCAAGAGTGTACTCACTGTAAACCCTTGTATGGTAAGTATATTCATTCTCTGATTTCTTTAGTGACTTTGATGTCAGAATTTCAGACCTTTATGACCCAGAGATGTCAAGTATCCTTGAGTATTCGAATATTGGCCATAATGCCTTTTGTGTATTTTCTGTGATTCTTGTATTTCTTTTAAATTTATATTAAACTTATACCAAAATCTTATTTCTGAACATGTTTTGGCATTTTTGGTGTTCTGTTCTTTTTTTGATAGGGCCCCAAGCAATGTCTTTATATTGAATAACTTGAATAATTTAGCCACTCTCTGAATAGGATTTCTCAAACTGTGTTCCACTAGATAACACTTAGGAAAAATATTAGTAGCAGTTCCACAGGATTTAAAAAACAGTACAGGACCAGGGATTTAGCTCAGTGGTTCTGGTGCCTGCCGCACAAGCTCAAGGTCCTGAGTTCAATTCCCCAGTACCAAATAAATAAATAAATAAATAAATAACAATACAAAAACTCTTTTTTCTTGTGTGAAATAAGGCTTTAAAACAAAACAGTAGAGATTAATTTATTATAGGACTTTGGGGTCTCAAATATGCACATATGCATAACAAAAATGTAGGGGTTGGAATGTATAGTATTCCCCATACTTGAACTATTAACTTTCAAAGAATATCTTGAAATGAATATGCCTAGGAACATGCTTTGGGAAACACTTCCCCAGATTATAATATAAAGTCCCCACAATTATCAAGCTAGAGTAATATATAATATTATATTGATAATATAAAATATAGTATAGATTACATTACATATTAGGAGTAATATCTTAGGACCTGTCAACAATGACGTTTGAAAGATATTTGTTACAACAAATTAATTAAAATGTACAACACACTGAAAAATAATGTAAAAAATAGCCTGGATCTCAGATACATTGCTGAAATTGAAAAATAAAGAATATTTTTCCTACCCTTCCGGATCCCAAATAATAATTTTAAAGCACCTTTGAGTTTTATTTCAAGACAATGTTTGAACTAAAATGGGAAGGTAAAGGAAGAGGGTGCCATTCTATCTGATATGAATCCTTAAAAGTCTTCTACCTTCAAGAACACTAGCCTTCTAATTGAAAACCAGGACATAATTACTAAAGCATGAACTGTCTTTGAAAATATTTTTAGAACTTTTCAGTCTTTGGCCCTAAGCAATCATTTCACTAAGTGATTGTTGAATTTTACTAAAACCAAATTACAGAGTTATGCTTCTCTTCCTCCTCCCTCATGATTTAGAAGATTCTCTAGCATCCATTTATCCATTTTCCTAATCATTTTTGTTTGTTTGCTTTTTGTTTTTTGAGACAAGGTCTCGCTGTGTTGTTCAGGTGGGTGTTGAACTCACTGTGTAGTCCAGGCTGGCCTTGAACTCACAGTGATCCTCCTGCCTCAGCCTCCTGAGTGCTGGGATAACTGGTGTGTCCCACGTCTTCCTAATCCTCCCCCCATCTGGTCATGTGGGCACACAGGTATGTATACACACTCAAACATATTTTTTTAAAACTTTATTTTTTATTAGTACATATTTGTCATACATATTGATTATATTTGTCATAGGGAATTTTTACCTTACATAATGTATTTTATTTCTTTTTTTCCCCATTCCTTTCCTCATCTTTCAACCCCTCCTCCCCTCCCCATTTACAAAAGCTCTGTTTCCATTTTTCCTTCCATTCTCCTTTTTTTCCTTTTCCCTTTGTTTTCTTCCCCCTCCCCCCTTACTTGTTCCCTTTCCTACATGAACATTTTATTCCTACATCTCATTATCTAGGATGGGTTTTTTTTGTGTGATTGTTTTGTATGGGAGATCGAACTAAGGACCTTGTGCTTGCGAAGCAGGTGGAGGTACCACTGAGCTAAATCCCTAGCCCCTACATCCCATTATCTATATCCATTTAGGTCTTTATTTATGCTTTGATTTCTCACACCAGAGAAAGCAATATTTAAACTATTTTACTTAAAATGTGGTCTCAGGCTGGGGATTTAGCTCAGTGGTTCCGCCACCTGCCCTGCAAGCACAAGGACCCGAGTTCGATCCCTGGTACCAAAAAAAAATGTAGTCTCAAGGAGCATATATTTACCTAAAAATGTCTAAAGTTTACCTTTATGGCAGAGTAGTACTGCATTGTATATAAAAACCACATTTTCTTTATCCATTCATCCATTAATGGGTATCTAGGCTATAAGATTTAGCTATTACAAATTGTACTATAAATATGGTGTGCCATAAATTTTCTATAAACATGAGTGTGCATATATTGCTGTGGTATGATGCTTTTAACTCTTTTGGGAAGATACCAAGAAGGGAAATAACCTAGTCAAATGGAACCTGTAGCTTTAGTGTTTTGAGGAATCTCCATACTGATTTCCATATTGGTTGTACTAGTTTACACTTCCACCAGCAATGGAGAAGAGTTCCTTTTCCCCCACAGCCTTGCCAGCATTTGTTATTTGTTGGTTTCTTGCTGATAGCCATTTTTTTGAAGTGAGATGGAATCTCAGTGTTGTTTTAATTTGCAGTTCTCAAATGACTAGTGATGTTGAAAAATTTTTTTATATATTTATTTGCTGTTTGTACTTCTTCATCTGAGAAGTGTCTAATCATTTTAGATGCCCATTTTTGGATTGGGTCTTTAAATTTGGGGAGTCTGTTTTTTTTTTAGTTCTTTATATATTCTAGATATTAATCCTTTGAGGAGTAGCTATTAAAAACAGTTTTCCATTCTGTGGGTTCTCTCTTCACTCTGTTGGTGGTGGTTTCTTTTGTTGTGGGAAAGCTTTTTAATATGAGGACCTCAGTTTTTGAGTCATTGTAATATTATGCAATTGTGCTTTTGTTCATAAAGTATTTGCCTATACCATCTCTTCTAGAGTTTTGCCTATTTTATTTTCCAGCAGATTACATGTTTGTTTCAGTGTTTAGATCTTCGATCCATTCAGTATGGGTCTAAGGTGTAATCTTCGGCATGTGGAAAGCCAGTTTTTCTAGCACCATTTATTAAAGAGGCTATCTTTCTTCCAGTGAAGGTGTTTGGCCTCTGTCAAAGATAAGGTGGCTGACTGTGTTTGGAGTTGTTTCTGCATCTTCTTTTCTGTTCCATTGATCTTCAGGTCTGTTTTTTGGTTTTTGTTTTGTTTTGTTTTTTGCCAGTACCATGCTGTTTTTATCACAGTAGTTTGGTAATATGACTTCAAATCAGGGATTGTCATGCCCTTTGCCTTGCCTTTGTTGCCCAGAATAGCTTTTGCTATTCTAGGTCTCTTCTGGTTTCAAATGAATTTTAGGATTGTTTTGTCTAGTTCTGTGAGGTATGCTATGGGTATTTTGATTGGGATTACATTAAATCTGTATAACAATTTTGGGAGTATGGCCATTTTCACTATATTAGTTCTCCCTACCCAAGATTAAGGGATATCTTTCCATTTTCTGATACCTTCTTTGATCTCCTTTTTCAGATAATGTAGTTTTCAGTGTATAGGTCTTTTATTTCCTTTGTCAGATTGATTCCTAAGGATTTCATTTTTCTTGATGCTATTGTGAAAGGTGTGGTTTCTCTAATTTTTCTCACAGTGACTTTGTTATTCGTGTACAGGAATGCTATTGATTTTTAAGTGCTGACTTTGTATCCTGCTACACTGCCAAATTTGGTTATTAAATCTAGGAGTATTTTGTTGAAGTTTTTGGAGTCTTCTTTGTAAAGTGTCATGTCATCCTCAAATAATGATAATTTAACTTCTTCCTTTCCTATACTTATTCCTTTCATTTCTTTCTCTTGCCTGATTCCTGTTGCTAATGTTTCCAAAAATATACTGAACAAGAGTGGTGATAGTGGGTATCCTTGTCTTGTTTCCAATTTTAGCGTGAAAGCTTTCAGTTTTTGACCATTTAACATAATGTTGGCAGTTGGTTTGTCACAGATGGTTTTTATTGGATTAAAATTAAGATTTTATTTTAATTTTCTGTAGAGAATGGAATTTTTTATCATGAATAGGTGTTGGAATTTGTCAAATGCTTTTTCTTTATTGAGTTCATTATATGATTTTTATCCTTGGTTCTGTTAATGTGGTGTATTACATTTATTGATTTGCATATGTTGAACCATCCCTGCGTTGCTGAGATGAATTCTAGCTGATCATGGTGTATAATCTTCATGCTGATTTGCTGCATTCTGATGGCCAGTATCTTATTGAGGATTTTTGCATCTGTGTTCATTAAGGAGATTGGGCTATAGTTCTCTTTTTTGGTTGGTTCTTTCTCTGGTTTTGATATCGGGGTGATTCTTGTTTCCAGGAATGAGTTTGGGAGTCAAGCATCCCTTTCAATTTCATTAAAGAGTTTCAAGAGTAGTGGCATTAGATCTTCTCTAAAGTCCTTGTAGAATCCAGCAGTGAATCCATCAGGACCTGGGCCTTTGTTTGTTGGTAGTTTCTTAATTACTTCAATTTCTTTTTTTTTTAATTAAAAAAATTTTTATTAGTACATGTTTGCAGTATATTACGATTCCTGGTATATGGAGGCTCCTGTGGGCTCTCAGACCTGACTCAGTGGATGCTCAGAGGAGAAACAAACCAACCCAGGACTAACTTATTTCTACAAGTCCAGTGAGGGCCTAGAGCGCTGGATCATGTCTCATGGTTGTCCTGAGTACCATGCAGATTAGGCAGCCATTAATCCTTGCTGCTTAACCAGGCAGAGGACTGGCCTATTGTGTTAGGCAGGAACTATGTCCAAGGCTCTGGCTGAATTCAGGGTGGGGGTCTCTGATGAGCCCAGGGTACTTGGAATGCTTCCATGTAAGCCCCAGTTGCCTAGGGACTGCTGTTACATGTCACCCAGAGACTGACTGTGGGGGCGTCTAGGATTGGAGCGAGTCAGTAGGTTCAAGTGACCCCTGGGTACTGAGTACTGACTCAGACCAAACCAGTGTTAGCTCTCTGTGCTGAATGAGTGTCACAGTTAGCTTAGGATAAACCACAGACTCCCAGCGGTGAGTCAGGTGTGCTCAGGGTCCAATATTGAAGACTCCTAACACAGGCACCAGTTGTTCATTTATCTGCTAGATTTGAGAATGAATGGGACATTCATTCCACTCACCCCTGGTGTGAGTGGGAGCGAGCAGCTCCTGTTCATTCGGCCCTGGTGTGTGCCAGGGAAAAATGCTGCCAGGGTGCATTGTCCTCTATTTGGAGAGGGGACAGTGAGGAGTGGAGCCGTATGCCCAGGTCTTTTCTGTGTGGCTTCACTCTGCCAGGCTACTTGGATCCCACCAGCTCTTTGGGGGCTTCTCGAGATGGCAGTTCCTGTTTTAGGCCCGGCCCCCAAGTTGGACAGCTTCGCCTGTTTTAAACTCCTATCTGCATGTTTTGGTTCGTCTACAAGTCTCTTTCAAATTGATTTTTGCATCAGGACATATTTCTCTCCCTTTCTTCCAATTAGCTGTGTTTTTAGTTGATCTTTTCTGAGTCTCTCCAACGTGATGACTCCTCTTCAGCCATGTGCTCCCCTCTTATTAAATCTTGATCCTGGATTTGGTCCACCATGAGCAGGTAATTCAAGAAAGGCAACATTAACACATGTGCACACACATACACCCAAAGTTAATTGCTGACATCCCTCTTCTCAAGTCATATAATCTTAAAAAGGGACATTAAGGATTGCAGTAAAGATAATGTTGTTATGGTTTATATCTAGATGTCCCCCTCACAAACTTAGCTTTGACCAGGCATGTTTTCTTAAAAGCACTGATGCATAGTTTTTGTGAAACTGTTTTGTGAACTATAAACAAAAACTAGTTATATTCATTTTCTCAGATATCAGGATCTCTCATAGTAATGCCATTTTGGAGTAGTAGTGAAAAATACTACTACAGCAGTTGTAAACCTGGGTATGTTTACAACTATGTGATAAAACAGACTTCAGCAAAGATATTATTTATGTTGGGAAATAATCATTAAAGAATTGTCTCTAAATATAATAGGGCTGAAATCATTTATGTAGTCATTGTCCTCTATGAAGAAAATCAACATTAGTAGAAATAGTGTAATGTTACTATTAGATTATTTTTATTTGCTTTTCTCCTTTCCCTCTCTATTTAGAGTAACCAAGAGCAAGTGTTGCTTCAGGGAGAGGATCGCCTGTACTTGAACTGTGGAGAGACCTCACAATCCCAGAATCCCAGGAATTCCTCAGCACACTCTGAGCGTAAGCCCAGGCAGGAAAAGAGCTTATTTGCAGATGGAGGTTTAGAGTCTCAAGGTTTAAGCAATTTACTTGGACATCGGCACTGGCATGTTGTACAGGTAAGTGTTTATTACTTGATTACTAATGACAGGGTCCTTGGTAAAATATCACTTGGAAAAGATTTTTAAGTATGATTCCATCCATTATTTCTGAAAACTGAGAATTTTTAACCTTTTTGACTGTCATGTCTCTCCTCTGCTTTTCTGTGTTCATGTCCTCTCATTTTCTTTCCATTTGATAGAGTGTATTTTCACCTACTTTAAGTGTCTTATTAGTGTCAAGGACTAAGAGTTCATTTTGCCCTCTCATTGAAGATAACTTTATTTTACTTTCAGCCTTTTTTGTACAACCAAGTTCTGTGGGTTTGTATAAGCAAAAGTGTAGTCATTGGATGGAAAATGATGATATTAACTAGTACCCTGTGCAACTGACCCTATAGTCCTATTTGGGCTACATTTAGATTAGTCACCTGACAATCCAAATTATAAACTTGTGATCACTATGGAATCTTATTGTTAATAATTTTATGATAATTTAATTTTGTCCCAAATTATTTACTCATTCTCATAGCATTTTTAAATTGACAGTTTCTTTTAATCTGATAAATTTAGCACTTAATGTGGAAATTAATTCTGAATTTTTATGCCAGTTGAAATTAGTTTGGGACAAACTATAAATTGAAATTTCTTAAAAGAAACTCACAGGCAGAGCTTCAGAGACCTGAGTGTTTTCTTTTCCCCTTTTATACCAAAGCGCATCAGAGTTCACTCTTGGATTAGGTTTTTTTTAGTCAGTTTGTTTCTCCACAGTTCTTTGCCTTCTGGTTGCCATACTTGTACCTTACTGGCTTACTTCAGCTCTCAAATTAGTTTCAGTTGGCTTTGAGTAGAGATAATGAGAGACAGAAAAATGTTCGTAATGTGAACAATTGAGGATTATCTCCTACATTGGCTTGTGGTATGCACTAAAAGAAAATGTATTTACCTTACATTAGTAAATTCATAGAGTCAGGCAATGTACATACCATTTTATAATTAGTAACAATTTTTAAATAAAATTGCATCAACTACTTCCTTGACTAAAATTTTCCACTGCTCCCTTCTCTCCTATAGCCATTTCTCTGCTATTTTCATTTCCCCATACTTTGAACTATTCATTCTACACTGACCTAGCATCAAAGCCAGTTCTGCCTAGCCAGGTCTGTGTTACCAGAGAGCCAAGTAGAGCAGAGGATCAAAGAAGGTAGGTCTGGAACTCAAAAATCCCATCAGGCAATAACAAAAGTGAATTTCCTTCCAGCTCAAAAATTCAGTGATTCTTAGCCTTCTGTGAAGTATTCATAAAAGAAACATATAACACTGATTTTAGGACTTTAAGTATTAATAAGATTCTTGTCATGCTGTTCTAAAGATATGTAGAAAGATAAACTTTTTAAACCCAAGTTGCAGTTTCCTTGAAAATAGTGCCACATTTGTATTCCCAAAATGATTAAATTTATAATAGACTCATAGAATTTTTAGAGCTAGAAGGGCCTTAGAGATCATATAGTCCAACTGGATTTTATACATGAGGAAACTGAAGCTCAGAGAAGTTATGTGACTTGCTCAAGGTCACCCAGCAGAGTAGAGGCAGATCTATTCTTACTGTGATCTGCATTCAAGTAAGAGACTTAATGTATTTTAAAATTTAAATACTAAATGTTGAATCAGTTTAGCTTCTGACCTTAAGCTAAAACTTAGAACTTGTATATTTGGACATGTTTTTACTTGGAGTTGCCCTAAAGTCTGTTTGCTAGTAGTCTAGCCACATGATTGAATGCAGAGTGGTAATGGTCTTTCAGCAGGGTGCATTACAGTATCTATATAATGCTAAAGCTTTCCCTTCTAGGCTTTTTAGCCAGTAATGATGAGTCCTTGAAGAAACATGGGTGCCTGCTTCAACATACCTTCTTTTCTAGGATAAGACCACATCTTCCATCAAAGTTGATTTGTTTGCTAATTTATATTTTGTATACTTCTTGTGTAGCTTAGAATTCATCTAATGAGTTCTTCTACTGTTTCTGTTCCTTGTCTAGAGTACTGGATGTTTGTTTGTCTAAGCTTTGTACTCCTTAACCTAAAGATTAAAGTTTATGCTGTGTTTTCCCTTTAGCTAATTCAAAAAATTTATGTACTTTCAGAAGCAGGGTTAGAAGCTAGTAGTAAAGATAGTGTTTTTATTTGTTTATTTTATTTTTAAATTTTTATTTTTGTGGTTGTAAAGTTAGAAAGCAATGGCACACTATGAAATTTTCAAAAACAAAATAAAAACTTAGTTTTAGGATATATTTTTTCTCAGACTGCTGTTTTTTTAAGATTCCATATTTTATATAGTGTAAACATTTATTTCTGAAAGATGAGTTAGTTATTATCCAGTATTCTGTATTGGCTTTGTAACCTGGCTGTATTTGGAAAAAAATAACCCTTGTGATATGGACAATAAGTACTTATCATGTATCAGGTACTATGTTAGGAATGTTAACAGTGGGTTTTACAATGGGCTTTTTCACTTATAAATAATTGCCTTTAATCCTACAATATGTATCAAGTGTACCAGTTGTGATATTTGGCACAGATTTAATCACTAGGAAAGTGGATCTCATCATTTCACCAGTTTCAGACAAAACTAGTCTAGGTAGGAGACAGGATTTTAGCACTATGACTTTTAAAAGTAAATAAAAAGTCAGTTTCAGATTAAGAGAGACTGGAAAAACCTATAATAAGAAATATAGAGATTCTTTCTATACCCTGACACTTAGTTTTCCAGTGATGTGGCATGACTTTTGTGTCCTGAGTATGCGTTCTTGATCTGAGTTTTTTCATTATTCATTAGCTGACTCTCCTTATTCTGACATTTTCCTTTTTTTTGGTACCAGGGATCAAACTCAGGACCTTCCGCTTGCAAGGCAGGTGGCAGCACCACTGAGCTAAATCCCCGGCCCCCTCATTTTGCCATTTTCTGTTCTTAGTACTAGGTGTATAGTTTAGAGTTCAGATGACATAGATCAGTAGAGATGACTGACTATGAAGACTACAAGTTTTTATTCTACTCTGTATTTTATAACATCTTCCAATAAAAATTTCCATGACAAAGCTTCATTTCATATGAGGGGTGTGTGTGTGTCCATGCGTGTTTTTTGGTTTTTTGTTTTGTTTTGTTTTTCTGTTTGTTTTTTTCTTTATTGTAAAGCTTCATTTTTAAAATTACATCTTGGGTTTTGAAAATTAACCATTTATAATTTATGGTGCTTCACAGACTTATAGGTTAAAAGAATAAATTGTTGTCTCCTATAATATTCATTAGAGTATGATCATTTGATAGGATTTAACTTTTCCTATGCACAGAAATTCTTTATATTAGAATCTACTTTTGCAGTAAGATTTCAGCTCCCAAATTACCCACTCACACATCATAAGTACTAATGAAATACCCAAGTTTGGGGAAGTTAGTGGGGTTTTTTAGTGCCATACATAATGAGAAGTCGTATTCAGGTACTTCTGTTACATCCTTCTTAAAGTGACTGTTGTTTTTCTCTTAATTTAAAAAAGAGGAATTTCACTTATAGTCTGATAGAAAATTGCTTTTTACTTTTATATAACCAATTACTACTTCAAGTTCACCATTCTTTTTTTTTTTTTTTTCCAAACTCAGGACCTTGTGCTTGCAAGGCAGGTGACGGAACCACTGAACTAAATCCCTGGCCCCTCACCATTATTCTTATCTTTTCCTATTATAGTGAATGTTATCAGTTGGTCTGAATAGTATAGCATATCTGTTAAGATTCAAATTAAGCATTCTTTAGGCATGTATCATGACACTGTCACCATTATTTCTATGGGGTAGGCACTCAGCACTGAAATTAAGAACTTCTAGTGTACTAAAACCTATCTATAATTTAATTGGATTTTAAGTTGACTTGTTAGATGTGAAGTCTAAGTTTTATGAATAAATTTTATCAAGCAGAGGTAATACAGATAATTTCAGCATATTGTTTTTACTTGATTTTTATTTTTTCTACACAATTTTATTGAATGTCATTGCACTTTACATGGCTTGTTTTTGTTTTGCTTTTTTAGATAGGGTCTTGCTATGTTCTTAGCTGGCCTTGAACTTGCTATATAGCCTACCTGGCCTCAAAATCATGATTCTCCTGCAGCAAACTCTAGGGTGTGGGAATTACAGGCAAGTGCTACCATACCCAGCTGCATGGCTTTTGAAAAAAAAAGACAATTTTTTTAGTAAACGACTAAATTGAAGCTTTTCTTATTTTAGGGACAGAAGATTCTTCTTGTTTTGTTCTCTTCAAACATTACATGTTGTTTGTTTTGTGTCCCGCCCCCCCCCAACTGGGGATCGAACTCAGGATCTTGCACTTGTGAGGCAGGTGTGGTGCCACTGAGCTAAATCCCTAGCCTTTGTGTTGTTTTCTTAATTCATATCACACTCCTACCAAATGGCTCGTGAAAAAAAATTTAATTATAGCTTGGCATAATGGCACACTCCTGTAATCCCAACTACTCAGGAGGTTGAGGCAGGAGGATCAGAAGTTTTTGGCCAGCCTCGGCAATTCAGCAAGACTGTCCCAAAATGAAATGAAGTAAAAAAGACTGAAGATGTACCTCAAGTGTTTCTTAAATTCAATCCCCACTGCCACCAAAAAAACCACCAAAAAACCCTCCAATTATTAGTAGGCTGGTAGAGAAAACAGAGTCTTAATAGAGTTAGAATTTGCTTAATCCATGTTGAAATCCCACTCAGGATTAAATTTTAAAGTTTTGGTCGAGTAATACAATGACATAATGTACAAAGATGTAAGACAGGTAACATGTGAAAATATATTTACCACTGATATTCCAGAGTGTTAACATCTTTGCTATATTAAAATTTCTTGTAAATGTATAAATTGAATACTTCAATAGAAAAATAAGAGCACAAACACAGTCTTATATGTTTAGAGATAAAAGCTAACCAGTGGTTTCTCATGAGCAACAGTATTTCATTTTATATTTTGTATATTTTTGTATTATTTAATTTTATAAACATTGCTTCATTAATCAGAAAAATATACAAGTATTAGAATATTTCCATTAAAAACCGAAACCCTTTCTGAGACTGGAGTTTTTTATTACATAAGGTTGTTTGGGGATGGTTCACGTCTGCAAACCAAAACTGTTCCTCTGCACAATTCATAGCTACCTTCATGTGTGCTTCTCTAAAAATCTCTTGTCAGTCTCTCTTTATTGAGTTTAATAATAGAAACAAAACATTGTGGAGGAAAAAACAGGAAAGCCTGATGTCTACAAACTTGAAATGGTTAAGACATGAGATGTGAAATACTGACTCATGTAAATGGTAAATTCCAAGAACCTTGCTACTACTAGCCCCTATTTGTGTCACCTTTAATATTGTACAGAAAGCTGAATTTCATACAATAAGTTAATACTTTTAAGTTTAGATATATTTCATAAATCCTATCAAGCTGATGTGTTATTTTTTGTAGATTTCCAGCACCTATCTAGAGAGCAATTGGCCTATACGGGTGAGTCGTTTTGTTGCTGTTAACTTCATTGAATAGCACATGCTGCATGAAGCATTTGTGGGAATTGAGCCCTTTAATGTGTATATTGATAAAAGTAAAATT